AGCATTGTCTAAAAACTGTACATACCGTAATCTTAAAAATATTGTGAGTAATGTTAACCATCATGTGAGCTTTCAGCAAGTTATATTTGCTGATCACAGAGTACTGTAACAAATATAATAATGATGAACATATTTGAAATATGAGAATTACCAAAATATGACACAGAGACATGAAATGAGCAAAAGATTGGGAAAATGGTGTTGACAGACTTTCTTGATGCAGAGTTGCCAAAACCCATCAATTTGAAAAAAAAAAAAGGCACCATCTGCAAAGTACAATAAAGTGAAGCACAATAATATGAAGTATGGTTTTACTTACTGTCATTTTGTTAACTGTATTCTGGCTGGTTTGTAATTTTCTGTGTGTTTCTTTCTTCTTCTCTGCTCTCCTTTGTGGTTTGATGACTTTCTTTTGTGGTATGCTTAGATTCTTTCTTCTTTATCTTTTGTGTATCTACTATAGGTTTTTGCTTTGTGGTTACCATGAGGCTTACATACAAAAAGTTGTAAGAAGTCTATTTTAAGTAGACAATAACATGTTTGATCACAGTCTAAAGCTGTACATTTTTACTCACCCTTTGCACATTGTTTTTAATGTCACATTTTACCCCTTTTTATCTTGTGCATCCCTAAACAAATTATTGCAGTTATATTTTACCATTTTAGTGTTTTAACCTTCACACTAGTTTTATAAGTAATTAATCCACTACCTTTAATATATATCTTTTCATAGAGATTTATTCTTTCATGTTGTCGTTACTAATTAGCTCCCATCCAGCTTTTTTTCAGCATGAAAAGTTACTTTTGCATTTCTTGTGAGGCTACTTTAGTGATGATAAACTCCTTTAGCTTTTGCTTATCTGGAAAACTATTTCTTCTTCAATTCTGTATGAAAACTTTGCTGCATAGAGTATTCTTGTATGGAAGTTTTTTTCTTTCAGCACTTTGAATATCTTGTGCCACTCCTTTCTGGCCTACAATATTTCTGCTGAAAAATCTACTGATAGCCTTTTGGGGTTTCCCTTGTATGTAACAAAAGTTTTTTTTTTTTAAAGATTGTATTTACTTGAGAGACAGAGCAAGAGCACACGTGTGCATGAGAGTGAGCATGAGTGTGGGGAGGGACAGGGGAAGAGGGAGAAGCAGGCTCCCCCCTGCGCAGGGAGCCTGACATGGGGCTCAATCCCAGGACCCTGAGATCATGACCTGAGCAGAAGGCAGATGCTTAACCAACTGAGCCACACAGACGCCCCTTTTGCTGCTTTTAAGAAATCTCCTTGTGCATTAACTTTTGACATTTAAATTATAATTTAAATAATTTGGGTTCATCTTATTTGTAACTCTCTGGGATTCCTGGATCTAGATGTCTGTTCCCTTCCCCAAGTTAGGAAAGTTTTCAATCATTATTTCTTAAGAAATTTTTCTGCTCTTTTCACTCTTCTCCTTTTGGGGCCCTATAATGTGAATGTTAGTCCACTTGATGTTATTCTATAAATGCCTTAAGATATGTTTACTTTTTTCTGCTTTTTTCTTTTTAGTGCTCTGTTTGGGTGACTTCCACTGCTCCATCTTCAGGTTCACAGATCCTTTCTTCTGCCTTAACTAGTCTGTTGTTGAACCCTGTAGTGTACTTTTCAGTTCAGTTATTATATCCTTCAGCTCTGTGACTTCTACTTGGCATCTTCTTATACTTTTTATCTCTTGGTTGAAGTTCTTACCGTGTTCGTCCATTCTTCTCCTGAGTTCAGTGAGCATCTTTATGACCATTACTTTGAACTCTTTATTAGGTAAATTACTTATCTCCATTTCATTGAGGTTTTTTTCTGAGCTTTTATCTTATTCTCGTTTGGAAAATATTCCTCTGTTTCTACTATTTCCTTGACTCTCTTGTGTTCATTTTTATGCATTAAATAAAATAACCACCTCTCTTAGTCTTGAAGGAGTGGCCTTGTGTAAAAGATGAGCCTTATCATTTAACCTTGCCCTAGCTCTTGGTTGTCCTTCAAAACTCTGTGATTGTCCAAGCAGCCTATTTTATTTTTAATAACTCCCAGTAGATGAGGATGTGCCAAGTCCTGCCATTGTCCTAAAGGGAAGATCTCAGTCAGCACCTAGATTCATGTTGAGTGGAAGCTAGACACTCAAGCAGCAGCTTTTAAAGTATACAAATATATACAGTCCTATGGGACTACAAGTGTAAGCCATGGCCACCAGAGCCAGGCAATCTGGAGGTATCCTGTGGGCAGCAGTTACAAAGACCAGGCTCTAGACAAATGCATAAGGTCCTTTATAGGAGATACTGGAAAGCTGTGGTGAGGCAGAGGGAAAGCACAGAGATGGCCTCCACCAGTTTATGTTCCCTGAGAGCACCTTCACAGGTTCCTGGATGTGTGTCAACCTGAATCCTGTCCCTCATGCTAAAGCTCCAGGAAAAGCAAATAGGTAGAGAAATATTGTTTAAAATGCTTTCCATTAAGATTTATTAACTATTTAATCCCTAAAGTATCTTCTGTACACTCAATATTTTCTTTTTCTGAATATCACTTGCAAGCAACCTGCAAAGCCACCCGTTTTACCATCTACTCGCTTGCATTTGTCTACCTCCTTTGTTGAGAATCAAACTCTGACTCCCAATTTTCATTTCTGTAATGACATAACTCCATTATTTTGGTTACATGACACATTTCTGTCACCTCTATAAAAATGATAAAGGAACAGCAGAGATCAAACAGATTCCTAGGGGGTGCCTGGCTGGCTCAGTTGGTGGAGCATGCAACTCTTGATCTCAGGGTTGTGAATCTGAGCCCCATGTTGGGTGTAGAGACTACTTAGAAAAAAGGAAATTTTTAAAATGACTAATAAAATGGTCAATATACAGCAAAGCTGTATAAAAAACAAAGATGAAATATATAAATAAATGATATTAAAGAAATTAACTATAAATGACAGTTTAACTGTTAAGTACAGATTTAATAAGAAATGGATAGCAATGAATTTAAAAACAAATGACATTGTAAAAGAAAATATAGTTTATATAGATTCCTTTTGACTGATTCTGAATAATGTAAATACAATGATATATATATACATAGAATATAACTGTAAACTGATACAATTACTTTGTAAAATCTTTGGCACCATCAACTAAAGCTGAACATGTGCATATACCCTACAACTTACCAATTCCACTCCCAACAGAAATGCATATATATGTTAAGCAGACGATAGGTAGTAAAATGTTCATAGTAGACTACCAAGTCCAGTAGCCCACTAATCATAGTAGGCTTAAAAAGACTAAAAATGGAAACCACCTAATTGCTTATCTACAGTAAAATGATGCATATATTATGGTATGTTAATTCAAAGGAAGAGTATATAGCACTGAAACTAAACTGCAGCTACATGAAACAAGAGAGGATTAGTCAACTCTACCCACAGGAAAGAAGAGAGTTCAGAAATTGACACATCTATATATGGAAAAAAAGTATAATACCTGAAAAATAATAGAAAAACAGTAAGTTGTTTAATAGGTGGTGGTTCACTATGTGGAGAAAGTAATGTGAATGCATACTTTATATTATATACAAATGGACCCCAGATGGATTTATGACCTATATTTGAAAGGTCAGGATATAACACACCTAAAAGAAAAAATAGGAGAAATACCCAACTCTGGGTAGGAAAAGATTTTTCATAAGACTCCAAAAAAGTAGAAAGTATGAGGTCAAAAAGCATGTGTGTATGTGTGTGTGTATGTGGGGGGGTGGTTTGGCTCAACAAAAGTCAGCTTTTTCTTAAAAAATAAAATATTCACAGACAACAGTAATGGTTAGATGAGTAGATGAGAGACAAGAAAATGAAATATTTAAAACCAACATTCAACTAATATAGAGGGTGGAATGTATACAGCACTCTGTAATCAACAAGAAAAGGGCACAAAATTAAATGGAAAATGGGCAAAAGTTATGATCAGGCAATTCAGAAGAGAAACCTGCATAAATATGGGAAGAGATGCTCAAAATCACTAGTCATCAGATAGCTGAAAGTAATGACAGTGATAAGCTATTACACATAGTAATAAAATTGGTAATAAAAAAGTAGAAAATTAGGGGCGCTTGGGTAGCTCAGTCGTTAAGCATCTGCCTTCGGCTCAGGTCATGATCCCAGGGTCCTGGGATCGAGCCCCGCATCGGGCTCTCTGCTCCAAAGGAAGCCTGCTTCTCCCTTTCTCACTCCCCCTGCTTGTGTTCCCTCTCTTGCTGTCTCTCTCTCTCTAATAAATAAATAAAATCTTAAAAAAAAATTAAAAAATAAAATAAATAAAATTCACTAATACCAAACTTTGGTGAAGATTTGCACTAGGTGACAGTAGAAACTGTGATTGCCATTCAAGAGCAATCATGCAGAATTTAGTTAAATCAGGCATCTGCTCTCCCTATATCCCAGCTGAAAAATTATTGCACAGACCCATAAAAAGGACATGTAAAAGGGCATTCATCACAATGTTGTTTGCAGTGATAGAAAGCCATGTGTCCATCACTGGGGGGCTGTACAAATAAAACACGCACATACTAGTAAGCAGGCAGCATTAAGAAGTGAAGTAGACAAAGTATTGAATAAAAAAAGTAATATAGAGAATGAAGTCTACAGCTTCAGTGACCATTCATCCCAGTTTGTGGAGGCAGTTGCAATTCATATCTGTTGTCCCAGCATAAAAATTAATAGCACTATCTTTCATTTTCAATAGTTTATGCAATATATTATATGGCCACCCTATCTGTAAATATTAAATCACAAAAACACTCAAAACCATACTACTTATGTTTGCTACATATATATTTAAGGACATTTATTGGCAAGGGGATTATATTAGGATGATAGATGAGACAAAGGAAATGAAATAAAAATAAATGATAACTGTGCTATAATTGAGTATAAAATACTGCTCTCTGCTTTAAGGTAGATAATAATACTATAGTTTGAAAAAATTACACACTTACAGTACTTCTGGTACTAAAAATGTGGTAGTTTGGGCTGTTAGTGGAATACCTGTGGAGGAAAAGTTCAAATATAAATATTAAAACTAATTTCTCCTCCAAATAAGAGGGATTCTATAGTAAACCCAGAAGTAGATGTAAGTCTGGAGAGAAGTTTTGTATAGGACAGAGGTGATAATAAATGGAGCTGGAAAATGGATCTCGATTCATAAGGAGAAAGAAATAATCACAGTCCTACCTTAGATCATTTAAGAAAAGCAACTCCATTGGGATAAGAAATGTCAAAAACATTAATACTCTTAGTAGAAAATTTAGATAAATGTCTCTTAGACGTTGGGGAAAGGAAGAATTATTTAAATAAGACATCTACCCTGAATTCTCCAACCCCCAAAAAGCTAACAATAAAAAATCATTACATCAAATTTAAGAAATTTTGTCCTTTAAAAGAACAGCTTACTAAGAAATAAAATTCAAGGAGCATGTGACTTTACCATGGGAAACAATAACATCTTTGTCTTCACTAAATTCTCATTGGAAATTTAGGGAAGAGAAAGAAATTTATCATTATGACTAGGGGTTGGCAAGCTATGGTCAAATTCCACCCCTAAATAGATTTTCTTTGACACACAGCCACACCCATTGGTTTACTACTGTTGGGGGTGTGCATTCCCCTACCATGGCAGAGTTGGGTAGTTAAAACATAGACTGTATCACCTGAAAAGCCTGAAATATTTACTACCTGGCCCTTACAGAAAGCTTGATGACCTCTGGTGTACAACATAAAGTTTATGAAGTCCCTGAATTCACAGGCCATTCTTAATAATATCCCTTCTCCTTATTTATTGACCCATTGCTTGCTAGGCATGTTCTGGGAGCTAAATATATCTTTGCATTCAAGCCTCACAACAACCCCATGAGACAGGTTTTCTTTTCTTCACTTTATAGAGAAAATAGAAGCTTACAAAGTTGTCAGAATGCTACCTTTTTGCTTTTTCTCACTACTTCACTGACCCTTTCCAAGGCTACTCTTAACTGTTCGATGCCCCCAACCATCCAATGAGGTGCCCTAGATCCCTTTCCTCTGAAATCTCTATAATAGTTTGATTGATTGTCGGTATTCTTACATCCTAATGTTAGAGGGTAATAGTTATAGCAAAACCTCCGCTGAACGGAATATTCACAGATTATTATTTTTCTGGTTAATTATCTGTATTTTAACCTATGCTGAAAATCTTTCTAAAATATTTCGATTCACTTTCCAATCCAGCAGTTACTAAATACTGAACAAAAATCACACTCGCACTGAGGATTTCTCAGAACTGTTAAATCCTTCACTCCCTAAATCAAATCACAGAACCAACTCCCATTCCTTATGCAGGAATTACATCCCCTTACATTTGTACAGTGCTTACATTTTATAAAGCACTTTGTCATAAATCTTTCATACATCTGCCTCACATACACCATCAACTACCTAGTTATCCTACAAAAGTGCCCTCACCCCCTGCCTCCACTCCCCAGTGGCGACTTTTGGGCTCTCATTTGGTCCTCTCCTCTCTGGCAAAACAAGAGTGCAGCAGGAGGAAAGGAGTTTATGGGTGGGTTCGCAGGGGCTCAGCTGTCCACAGGACAGCGACACGAAGTTACCCAGACCCTGGAGGAGCAAAGCCCTAAACCTGCTCCTTCATTCTCCGCCCTCATCCATCGAAAATTCTCGGAAGGCGGCGGCGGGGCGCAGGTGCTGGACGCGGGGAGCTCGGGCTCCAGGCGGTGGTCTGCGGGGGCGGGTGGGTCAGGACGCGGAGGCACCGGGGGCGCGGTCCCAGGGGCGACCCCCGCCCGGTGCCCTGGGGCGCCAGTGGCCTGTCTCTACCTCCACACGGCCAAGCCGCAGCAGCTCAGCCACGACAGCAGCACCGCCACTCCCTGCACTGACATGGCGCCCGGACAGCGTCCGCCCAACGGCCCAGGCCGCGCCCGCCCTGGCCTCGCGCGCTCACGGGGGTCGCCGGCGGACCCGAGTAGGAGGTGCTGGGGGCCGGGCGCCCCGGGGGTGGGTGGGGTTGGCCTCCCCGCCCGCGCGGGCTAGTGCGTGTACGCATGCGTGCCAGCGCGCGCCGCTACCTGGCTCCCTGGGAACCTCGCAGTTGGTCGGAGTCGAAAATGTAAACCAGACTTGAGGAAAGGCAGAAATCATGCTGTTTTGGAGTGAAATAGCAAAACCACTTCGGAAAATCCCAGGTGACTGAACGAAGGTGAAGCTTTTAAGTTACGGTATCTTTTAGCCCAAATTTTCGTCCTGACTGTATATAAGTACTGCGATAACAAATACGTATCTGGTAGTGCTTTCCAGTGTGAGGCATTCCATAAATGGTTTTTTAAATTCAACGGAAATGAACAGTAACGTGTACTTATTGAGCACCTACTTTATGCCCAACACCTTGCGCACTTGAGTACAAAGAAATATGACAGCTTTCTGATTTACAAAGGGGTTTGTAATCTTGTGGTAAAGCCAAGATAAACAAATACCAAAATTGTCACATAGTATTATAATTTATATGTTTATTTGATGGTAGACCAAATAATCTGAATCTTTGAGTGCTGCAAACTATTATCTGTACTCCTCTTTATGTCATCAGGGCCCAGTACCATCATAGTTTGTAATAGGTCCTCTATGCTTACTGACGAATCATTGAGTAAAACTAGTATCATACTAAAATACGCTCTAGGACCATTAGAGAACGTGATTGTGTGTATATGATGTATATGTAGTAGACCTTGCATTTAATGTGATTCTAATCCCAGGTTTTTCCGAAGCAACTTTATATCGGAATTAGATACCATAGTTAATTTGTGTTGCCGCAGTAGGTACAGTTTACTCCAGAATCTAGTTGCAACTGAAACACGAAGAGTAATGGAATATACAAAAAAAAGGGTCTGGGCTCTGGACTGTCTCGGTACCAACTCAGCCTGCACTAGAGCAAGTTAACTGAGTTTTAAATACTGTAATATAAGGGTAAGATAGTATTACTTACCTTATATGGTTGGGGGATTTAAAAGATCTAAGTGTATCACAGTATTTGGCACAAACTATACATCACTATTGCCCTCCTCCTCTCTGAGCCCCTGTTACTAATGTATAAAATGAGAAGGGTTAGAACTTGAGCTCTAGATTTTCAGTTCTAATGTCCTCTATTGCTCTACTTTGGCGTATGCCCTTTTCGATCCCGGTTCCATCTCTGTTCTTATTTGTAGACCTTTAGTTCCCAATTACGTTTCCATTCCATCGCATTTGTATTTTGGAATTCTACCCTCTGTATTTCGCACACGTTATCTCATCCCTTAATAAAGGCAAGTCGTTAAAAAACAAAACGCCTTCAGAGGCTGAGACCCTGTAGACGGCAAACAGCATGGCACCAGAAAACGTCGCCTCGGCCCAGAGCGTTGCATGCCGGGAGTTGTAGTCCGACGCTCGAGCACGCACCTCCGCGCCTCTCCGGTTTGAAAAGCGGGAGAAGGGCGGGTAGGCGGGGCGTTGAGGCGAAGCGCGCTGGAGGCCCCGCCCCCGCCCCCTTCCGCTCGCGGGGCTCGCCCTGGGGTGGTGCGCCAGGCTGCGGAAGGGGCGTGGCGTCGGTCCCGGGTGGCGGCGGTTGCCGCCACCGGGGCCTCTTCCTGCGGGCGGTGCTGCTGCGGCCTGCCTGCGCGGGGCAGTCATGGTCGCCCCTTGAGTGGGCTGTGGAGGAGAGCGGGGCGGGGCCTGGCTGGAGGGTGGTGGCCCGGCGGGGGCGGGGGCGGGGCCGGCCTCTGGCTCCTTTTTCCTCCGCATGTGGCTGGCGGCCGCAGAGCAGTTCAGTTCGCGCACTACTCGCCGCCCGCGTCTCTTTCGGGCTCTCCTCGCGTCACTGGAGCCATGGCGTTCGCCGAGACCAACCCGGCGGCATCCTCCCTGCCCAACGGCGACTGTGGCCGCCCCGGGGTGCGGCCCGGAGGGAACCGGGTGACGGTGGTGCTGGGCGCGCAGTGGGGCGACGAAGGCAAAGGGAAGGTGGTGGATCTGCTGGCGCAGGACGCCGACATCGTGTGCCGCTGCCAGGTGAGGCAACCGGGATCTGATGGGAAGCCGGGCCCGAGAGCCCGGGCGCGGAACCCGGATCCGTCGTCCCAAAGAAGGTGTCACCTTGAGGTTCTCTCCTGCTTGGAGCTGCGGCGACGTGGAGAAATGGCGGGAGGTCAGAGACCCCTGACCTGAGGTCTTGGGCTGAGGGGTTGCGGTGGCGCTGGAGGAAAACCAGGGTTGACCCGGAGTCTTTGAGGGATGCGCGATGCCTGGGGAGTTGCAGTTTTCCGTCTGGGGGCCAGTATCCAGCCCCAAGCTTGGGGCCGGGGTGGGGGCGGGATACGGTTTGAGTTTGAGGAGCTGCTGCCCGAGGCCTGCTCCCGACTCCTGGCGGAGACCCCACGCGGGCATAACCCCCTCCCCCATCGCGCGCCCACCCGCCCACCCAGCGAGACCGAGTGGGAATGGATTGTTCCGAAGCGCCCGAAAACCCACTCGCCACTTCCCCACCTTCAGGCCCCCAGCGTTCAGACCTTTGCCTCCTCCGGTCCACTTTGTTGACACGAGAACCCACCTCCGGGCTTTGGACGGTTAATGGCCCCGGTTTTTGACTCCGTACCCCGCGTATTAATATTAAGGGTAGATTATTTTTACTTGTTGGTCCCAGAGGAAAGAATCCCAGCTCTTTTGCGAGTGAGGCAAGTAAATACGTGGATGTCAAATCTGGTATTTAGAAATATTTACATTGTTACGCTCACATGGAAAGTGAACTTTCGGGAAATGGATTGGTAATGTACTTCCTACCGGGAGACACGTGGTTTTCAGTGTAAGCTTTCTTCCTATTTGTCGCTTGCTTTGAAGCAGCCTCTAGGCTACGCCTTTGTAAAGGCTCTTAGGTAACTATTGCCAATTTCAAAATTCGAAATAGTTGAGCAATAACCACTTTCAAAACAAATTGTAATATATCTGAAACTGTTTACCTTGGAAGAGGATTTCTTCTTCACGAACATGGCACAATATGATGATGCCATGCTGTATATGTTCTAACAAGTTAGTAGGCCCGCTTCATTGAAAGCTTTCCACCTGAAACTGATTATCATTCTGAGCACGCAGAAACAAGGTAATCACAAGTACAGAAAATGCTAAATGCAGAGATTCTGATTTGTCTTATTTTTTGCATGCAGAAACACCCTGCCCATTCCTTAGCTAAGATAGGTGTTGCCTCTTAGTATTACCCCTAGCACCCCCACCACCTCTCCCCACCTTGGGGGTGCTCTGGGGACACACCTTAATACCTTACTCCGAAGCGTGTTTCCACTGAAGTCCTGCCCTACACTGCCTAAGGAGCTGCTCCGCAAGCCAGTTTTCACCTTACTTTTGCCTTAAAATCAGATCTGGCCGTGCTATAGGGAAAGAAGTACGAGAATACCCAACTCTTGCTGAGTAGAAAGGGAGAGGGGCTGGTCCTGTTTGACCCCTTCCATGTCGTTCCTGACCTCTTCCTTTCCCAGAAATAGTAATACTTAGGCTGAGTTACATTATGGGTTATAAGAAGTTGTGGGAAATGTAACGATCAATAGCATTTATTCTAAAAGATTCTCGATTTTAGTATTTCTTTGAAAAGTAGTAGAATTTGTTTGCAGATTGGAGAAGGTGTTAGTATGTTATCGTGAACATCCTCTTGAAGAAGGTCATGGACCAATCTCATCTGATGCCCTTGGAAAGCCTAGAGAGAAGTGATTGAGAAGGAGCCAAGTTTGGCTTTAAACTGTTACCTGAAGATAGAGGAGGAACATGTGAATGAAAGTTAGGCAGACTTTCCTCTTCTGTAAACTTTGACTTTCTGCACACTTTATATAATTCTAAAATCTTCATATTCTAGTGCCTTTTAAGAACTCATCATTAGAAGGATTCCTACTAGTTTTGTTAGTGGAAGTAGACACAGGATGAAGAGATTGAAGGATCTCTCTTGTGATTCACCTTGGTAACTTTATATTAATTGGCCAGCTCTAGCAAGCTGACTTCTCCTTAATGAATTTCTCCTGACTTATAAAACTGAAGACTATGGAATGCTGAAATTCTTAGTGTGTGTAGAGCGCTGGGAAAGTCAGCATTAGAAAAGACATTTTAAGCTTGAATTGCCTTGTTTGATGATTTAAGTTCTGTGTATTACTGAAAATAGGTACTTTGTTAGAGCTTAATATGTGTTTTTGGTCATATTCATGCCCCAAACTCAAATTTTATGCAGATTTTCTCTAGAAGTGGTATACACATAATGTGTCCATAGTTTAACAATGGACTCATAAGAAATTTTTTCCAAAATAAAGTTTTTAAAAGAAAAACTGGTATTGTATTTAACTATATATATATATTTTTAATTATTGTTATGTTAATCACCATTTAACTGTATATTTTAATATATCAAATGCCTTTTGGAAAGAATAGATGCAAAGCCAGTGGCATTTTCATCATCGGTGCACTTAAGGCCTATATTTCAGATTCAGGATTTATATGCAGTTATTTATAATTTGGTAAATTCTCTAGATCCAAAAATATGTGTGTAGAACTTACATCAAAGGACTACCACTAGAAACATCTTAATTTCAAATTGATGTCTTTTAAGTAAAAGAAGTATAGGACCAACTCCAGGCCTAGTTCATTTATCCAACAATCACGTAATGAGGATCTACAAGTGATACTATTAGGGGAACTGCTTGGCCCCAGAATTAAGCTGAAAAGGGCAGGGATTGTGCCCAAAAGGAGCTTACAGTCTACTGGACAACAGCTACATAAGCAAGTATTGACAGGGTGGGGGTGGAGAGGGTACTAGTTTTTCAAAGGGTTAAGGTATGGGCAGAGAAAGGCCCCATTCTGGCAGCAT